GTCTTCCTCATGCATAAAGATTTGATGATACCCGCGGAATGCGTCGAGAAATGACATGATTTCACACCCCGCGGTCTCATCTACAAGTTGATCAATATTCGGCAAAGGAAAGGGGTCCATGGGACACACCTTGTTGAGATCCGTGTAGTCCACGCACATGCGGAATGAGGGCGGTTTTTGTGCGAGGACTACATTCGCCTGCCACGAGGGGTATTTTACCTCCTTGATGTGCTTGATAGAGAGGAGCATAGCGACCTCCTTCTTCACAAATTCCCTCCTCTCGGCCGAGAGGGGTCTCCTCCGTTGTTATACTGGTTTAGCCGAAGGATCCACCGAGAGGCGGTGGGTGATGACCTTTCGGCTGATCCCCGGCATGTCCTCCGGCCCCCATGCAAAAACAATGGAGTAGGCGCGGAGGGCGCTGATGATGACGGTCTTCAAGTCTTCGGGGAGCTTGGCTCCAATCTTCACGACTCTCTCCGGCTTGGCCGGATCGAGCGCAAAGTCTTCTACCTCCTCGGCTGGTTCAGCCCTCGGTCTCCTTTCTTCCGCTTCCACAGTTCCGGTGATGGTGTCAATGCGGAACTCCGTCTTGCTAACCTTCTTCGTCACTTGAAGGTAGCAAGCGCTGGCGAGTTTTTGATTCCCTCTTGAGTAACCGATGCCTCCCTCGGCTGGGAACTTGAGGCAGAGGTGCTTCATGGAGATGACGGCTTCGAGATCCTCGAGGGATGGCCAGCCAAGGATGATGTTGTGGGCACAGTCGATGTTGACGACGACAAACTCCACTTCGAGCTTGGCTCTATGGAGCCCGTCGCCGAAGAGTACCGGGAGGGTTATGACCCCCTCGGAATCAATGGTGTCGCCGGTGAAGCCGACAAGAGGGGTCTTGATGGGCCGAAGGGACCCCCTCTCCAGATGCAGCTCTCTGAAGGTACTGAGGTACATTACATTGACAGAGCTGCCCGTGTCAATGTAAGTTCGGTGAATGATAGTGTCATTGATCTCTGTGCGGATGACGAGGGCATCCCTGTGTGGAGAGGACACCGGGGGAAGATCAGCGTTAGTGAAGGTGATGGGTTCCTCCCTCAGCCGCTTTACCGGGGGCATATGAGTGACTTCCCCCACGTAAAGTGATTGTGTAACACCGACCCCGAGCATATTTATTTTTAGTAAATTATGTAATAAACCTTGAAAGATGATTTATGAATTTGCGTAATTGTAAATTTTTATTATTTCTTTTACGTGAATAGTAAATTGCATGTGGGGCCCACAGCGGGACGGGGACCGCCCGATAATTCCCGAACCACATATTATATTCATCTTGGTCTAGATAATATGTATATGGTGGTGGATATTTTATTTGGGCCATAAGAAAGGCATGGGGTTGACCGGTTGGTCAAACGGGGCCCAATTACCGGTATTGGTAATTTAACGGATAACAGCCCGAAATGAGTTTCGGAGACTCCTAAATTAATGTTGGGGAATGTACATCTATTCTAAAGGCCCATAATTATTAGGAACACGTGATATATTTTATTTGGCCCGATAAAATAAAATATAATTAAAACGGACCGAGAAATACAACTTTCGGGGCCGATTATACATACCGGGACATAACGGGATGACCTCCCACATAAGTGGGGGCCACCCCAAGTTTTTAGGAGTGCTGATGGACTGAGTGATAAGAAGAGGGGAGCAAATAAGTGTGCTGGTACGCACAATCAATGGGAGGAAGCCTCCTAGAAACAAATGAACATGCTCCATGTCCCACTCTTGGCATCTCTTCTAATTGATTGAGGGGAGATGCCTCCCCCCTACCTTGTGTCATTCGGCCAGCACAAAGCAAGAGAAGCCCAAGGGAAAGCAAAGCTCTAGTTGGAGGAAGAGAGAAGCTAGGAAAATCCACAAGAAATAGCTTGTGTCTAAGGTAAGAACATAACTATTGTTCTTTAACTAGTTTTATGGTGTATGATTTTTAAGAAATCATATGGTGGATTAAACGTGATGTTCTACACGTTTAAAAGTGTAGAATATTGATATAAAGTGGTGATATTTAACTTAGAAGAGTTGGTGAATCGATAGGAGTCGAAATCGCCGGAAACCGCCACTTTAAGGGAGCTGCCCGTTTCTGCAGAACACAAAAGCCGCCCGGCTTTCGTGAAAGCCGTCCGGCTTTTGCCCAGCAGCTCAGTTTTACACCTTCAATCGGCCTAGAACGGGGATTGATCGAGGGGCTTAGCAAAGGCAACTATTTCAGCACTTCATAAGGTCAGGATGGCTGACTATATTGCTTATAATTAGTGAGTTAATTTCATGAGATTACCGAAGGTAATTAAATGTGTTTTTATGGATTATTAATGATTAATAATGCCTAAAAATGAAAAGACTAAATGTCTAGAGAAAAAGGAGCATGATATACAAATTTAGGAGTAAATTGTGTATGTTCATGTGCTATGAGTATGTTGACTTGAAAGTGGAATTTATTATGAAACATGTGTTGAAATATACTTTTTTCTTCATACTAGAATATATGAGTGATTAAAAGTGATATTTTGGATATTGAGATAAATGATATTTTCAAAGGAAAATCAGTTGGAATTGTCTATATGACTATGAGTTGAGAACTTGGTTTGTTGATATTAATTTGACTAGTATTAAGATACTAGTTGGACATTAAGGTGAAATGTTGTTAAGATTGATCCTAAGGTTGGATTGTGAAATGTTATGCCTTAAGTAGTCTTAAGAGATGCTTTAAGGTAGGAAAGTATGAACTCTAAGTTATACTAGGGGTAGGCCTTAAGGGATACCCAAGATAAAGTAAATAATAAATTGATCCTAAGTATAGGATTGGCCTACGGGTGTGTTCGGTAGTCCTTGTGGATAGCCGGTTGAATTATGGAAATAGTAAGGACCATGGCCCTTCCCGACTCTAGAGAGCGGGGTTGGATAGCATGGACTTACATCGTGATCACGGGTTAGGGTGGAATCCGAATCGGAGACCTAACTAGGTTCCGGTAGCGGTAACACATAAGATAGGACCCCGAAGGGCCTTACCTTCCTACGGGATTATGGGTATGAGTCCAGGGGCGGGATGTTGGAGTCCGAACCGGGAGCCTCATGAGGTCTCGGACAGCGGTAGCAAGTCCCGTAGAAATAATAAGACCCAAGGATTGGGTTGTGCAAATGATAAATGGAAAGGAACATATAAGAAGGGCCGTGTGCCGACAAATAAATAAATTTACTTATTATAGAGATAATAAGTGGGAAATATAAATTATTATTTATATTATGATATCACCCTATTTTGAGGGTCTTGGAAATTAAAACGTTGATTATACTTAGTATAATTGCTATTGTACTTGTCAAATATTTCCAAGTACTGACCTCCCCTTCACGGGGGAGGCCACCTCACAGTTTCAGGTAGGACTTCAAGGTTGCTACCGGTGCCCGTTGCTCGGGATATTCAGAGGAGGAGACGTGGTTCGTGCTTCTTCTGTTTCCTGTTTTCAAAACAATTATAACAATGCTCATGGATACTTTTTTCTGAATAATTATTTTGGGGGCTTGTATGCCTAGTTATGCCAAGTGTGGCTTGAACAATTGTATTAATGCTTCCGCTGTTTTAAATGAATGTTTTACATTATGTTTGTTTATGGATGTACTATGTGTGAATGATATTCATGACGCTTTGTATAGTATGGATGAGTTGGACTGCGGTTGACTATTCGTACTGTACGGCGTGTTGTTGACGTGTCCGGCTAGGTCCGGGGCGTGACAATTTAATTGGTATCAGAGCCTTAGTCCGTAAACATCATAATGAAGCTTCAAAATGCTTTTTGAAAATGAAATTGAAAACCAAGAGCATAAAGTTTTGTACTTATAGAACTTTTGGTACTTGAGTTGCAATGTCTCTAATTGTTAAGATGGTACCCTTAACAATTGGTATGGCGGTGATTTGAGCCAAAGGATGTCTTTAAGTGCCTATCCGTCAATTGACATTTGATACGAGTCTAATGACTCATTCTAAATTTCTTTCAGAAATGGAACGTACCGGTAAAGTTACTCGACGGAACCCGACTGGCCAGGCACCGGGAGGATCTCAACGTGGCAGCCGGGGAGGGTCGAGGGTATCTCGGGGACAGGGCCATGCAGCCCACTCACTGACGGTGAGTGACGGTCATGTGAAGACGAGTGATGAACAATATGAGTCCGAGGAGGATTCAACTTACCAACCGGGAACTGAGCCGGTTGAGACCCCATATGATGGGGAATACGATGATGCTAGTGACGAGAGCGATGATAATGAAGCTCTCGAACGGATTGAGGAATTGCTCCGGCAATACCACCAGGATCGCCAAAGGCGCCGGGCAAGGCGTGCTTTGGAAGGGGCTTCAAGGAGAGGAAGCCGCGTGACTCCCGGGGAGATCATAGAATCCCGAGGAGGGGGAGGTGCTGAGGTCCCTATAATAAGGATCTCAAAGTACCTCAAAGAGGCAAGAGACTTGGGATGTAAACCGTTTGATGGAACAGGGGACATCTCCGTGGCGGCCGAGTGGATCAAAAGATTCAACGAGGCGGCCCTCGACATGCAACTACCACCCCACATGAAGCTGAGAGTAGCCACGAGGCTACTAGAAGGCATGGCGTCCACGTGGTGGGATGGAACAAAAGGGAAGTACGGCGAGGCCGTCACTTGGGAGAATTTCAGACAGGAGTTCTTCAGCCAATACTACTCCGACTTCGAGGTGAACTTGAAGAGGAGGGAGTACACGAATTTGACCCAAGGAGGTGAATGTACGGTGAAGGAACTTGAGCACAAATTCAGAAAGCTTGCTGAGTTCATACCGGAGTACATTTGTGATGAAAACCGGATGGTGAACCACTTCTGGGATGCCTTGGACCTTGACATACGCGAGAGGGAAACACAATTGCCTAATATGACGTTTAGTCAAGTGGTTGAACAAGGCTTGAAGGGGGAGAAAGAGTGGGAGGAAAGAAAACGAAGGAATGCCGAGGAGGCAAAGAAAAGAAAATGGGAGAACCATGGCCCTCAAGGTTCCAACAAGAAGGGGAACCACGGGGGAGGCGGATCCTTCAAAACCCCTGCACCACCGGTAAGGGGAAATCAAGGCCCGAGCAGGCAAAGCTCTGTGTCACAAGGCTCAGGCGTGAAGAAGTGCAGCAACTGCAAGAGGAACCACTTTGGCAAGTGCCGCGATCCCCCGAGGTGCTATCAATGCGGGGAGGTCGGGCATTTGAAGGTGAGTTGCTCACAACTTGGACGAGCCATGGGGGCCGGACCAAGTAGTGGAACGACGGTGAGCAGGAACCGAACCGGAGCACCAAATGCTAGCGGTGGGCACGGTGGGGCGAGTGCAAGCAACGCGCCATCCGTAAACCAATGAAGGACCCAAGCTCGGGTCTATGCTATGACGGAGGCGGATGCTCGTGCCAACCCGGACTCCGTTGCGGGTAATTCCTTAAACTCACATATTAGTCTATTATAAACAATAGGACTGTGGAACTTGTAAATTTATAATCCCGACGAGTTTGGTCGGGTTTGAGGGGAAAAAGGGGAGGAGAATCCTCGCCCTGGGCGAAAACCGCCCGACTTTGACGAAAGCCGCCCGGCTTTCGTCTTGATTTATTTGGGATAATACCACGGCAACGAATGCCGGCCGGCTTCCACCGAGAACCGCCCGGCTTTCGTCAACATTAAATCAAAAAAAATCTCCCAACCAAAAACCGGCCGGCTTTTGTAAAGCCCGGCCGACTTTCGTAAATACCTCACCTGGTAAAATTCTCGCAGCTGAAAGCCGCCCGGCTTTCATGGAAGCCGCCCGGCTTTCGTTAGGCCTGGGGATTCCTGCGCTGCTGAAACCCGGCCGGGTTTCGTAGAAACCGGCCGACCTTGAGATCCGTTCAATGAATAAAACTACGGCGACGAAAACCGCCCGGCTTTCGTGAAAGCCGTCCGGCTTTCGTGATTTTATACAAGGAATTTTTCTCGCAGATGAAAAGCGGCCGGCTTTCGTGAAAAGCGGCCGGCTTTCACCTGGTTTAGTCCTAGAGCGGTTCTAAAGGTTAGAAACCGGGGAATTTCGGGAGGGTGTCGAACGGACTTCACCCGAATCACGACCAACATACTCTACGACTTAAGAAACAAGCCTATTTATTAGATAGTGTGTCTTACATTACTTATGAATGTAGGAACACTAAAGATAAACGGGAGAGACGCAAGGATCCTTATTGATACCGGGGCGCAACGATCATTTGTGAGTGAGGCGTTCGCCAGCGGATTCAACGGACCACTTGTACCGATGACTCAAACCCTATTGGTGTCCACGCCTCTAGGGGATGATATCGAGAGAGATAGCCATTATCCATCGTGTGAGGTGGAGGTGGAGGGAGAGAACTTGACGTGTGATTTCGTACCGCTGAGTATGATCGAGTTTGATACAATCCTCGGGATGGATTGGCTTGAGAAACATCATGCTAGGGTCGATTGCTACACAAAGATTCTTGAACTCGAAGGCGGTGAAGGGTTGACCTTACGCTTCGAGGGAGATAGAGGCAAATCAAACAGTTGTATCATATCCGCCGTGAGGGCGAGGAATATGATGAGAAAGGGATGTCACGCCTACCTAGCGTATGTGGTGGACAAAACTAAAGAAGAGATAAACATCAATGATGTGAGAGTAGTGAGCAAGTATCCGGATGTCTTCCCAAAAGACTTGCCAGGACTTCCACCCGATAGGGAGATTGAGTTCGTGATCGAGGTTGAACCCGACACCAAACCAATCTCTATACCGCCATACAGAATGGCACCCGCTGAACTTAACGAGTTGAAAACCCAATTGCAAGAGCTATTGGACAACGGTTTCATAAGGCCGAGTCACTCTCCGTGGGGAGCACCGGTCCTTTTCGTGAAAAAGAAAGATGGAACACTTCGAATGTGCATTGACTATCGCCAACTGAACAAGGTCACAATCAAGAATAGGTATCCCTTGCCTAGGATTGATGACTTGTTTGATCAGCTCCGAGGAGCGACGGTGTTTTCGAAGATTGACTTGAGGTCGGGGTACCACCAACTGGAAATAAAGGAGGATGACATATCGAAGAGTGCATTCCGCACAAGGTATGGTCATTTCGAGTTCCTAGTTATGTCGTTCGGGCTAACCAACGCCCCGGTGGCATTTATGGACTTGATGAACCGGGTATTTCATAAATACTTGGACCGGTTTGTGATTGTGTTCATAGATGATATCTTGATTTACTCGAAGAGTGAAGAAGAACATGAGGAGCACTTGATACTTGTTCTTGAGACACTACGGGAGAAGCAACTCTATGCCAAGTTTTCCAAATGTGAATTTTGGCTAAGGGAGATTGGCTTTCTCGGGCATGTGGTTTCGGGATCAGGGATTGCCGTAGATAACAAGAAGATTGAGGCCATTACTGAATGGGAGAGGCCAAAGAACGTCAAGGAAATTCGTAGCTTCCTTGGATTGGCAGGGTACTACCGAAAATTTGTGGAGAAGTTCTCAGTTTTGGCATCACCATTGACAAAGCTCACTCGAAAGGGGGCCAAGTTTGTATGGGATGACCGATGTGAGAAGGGATTCCTTGAACTGAAGAAGAGGTTGACCGAGGCACCGGTACTCGCACTACCCAAACAGTGTGTGGGGTACGATGTCTACAGCGACGCAAGCATCCAAGGGCTTGGATGTGTCTTGATGCAGAATGGGAGGGTGATTGCCTATGTTTCACGACAGTTGAAGAAGCATGAGGTAAATTATCCCACTCATGACTTAGAGCTGGGGGCGGTGGTGTTCGCATTGAAGATTTGGAGACATTATCTCTACGGGGAAACATGTCATATATACACCGACCACAAAAGCCTGAAGTACGTGTTTACTCAGAAAGAGTTAAACATGAGACAGAGACGGTGGATGGAGTTGATAAAAGACTACCATCTTGTTATCGAGTACCACCCCGGTAAAGCCAACGTGGTAACGGATGCCTTGAGCCGAAAGAATTCATCTGGGGCATTATTGACTAGCTTGAGGGCATTGAGAGCCCAATTGGAGGTATCTAGCGATGGTGCCTTGTTAGCTAGATTCGAGGTGAGACCTACATTACTTGATGAAATCAAGAAGGGTCAAGAGACCGACGAAGAACTTATGAAGATCCGTGAACGCATGCTAGCGGGACCGGTTGAGGATTTCAGGGAGAGAGACGATGGTCTCTTATTATTTCGTGACCGAGTGTGTGTACCGTTGGATGATGAGCTCCGAAAGTCCATCTTAGAGGAGGCTCATTCATCGGCGTATGCCATGCACCCGGGAGGCACGAAGATGTACCGTGATTTGAAGGAAAGTTACTGGTGGTCGGGCATGAAGAGGGAAATAGCCGAGTACATCAGTAGGTGTCTTACTTGTCAGCAAGTTAAGGCAGAACATCAGCATCCGGCTGGGTTACTACAACCACTTTCCATTCCTGAATGGAAGTGGGAGCACGTGACTATGGATTTCGTGGTGGGGCTGCCACGGACGATTAAGAACTATGATGCCGTATGAGTTGTGGTCGATAGGCTCACAAAGAGTGCACACTTTCTACCTATCAACACCACCTATGCACTGGAGAGGTTAGCCAAGTTGTATGTGGATGAGATCGTGAGGCTACATGGGGTTTCTATAACCATTGTATCCGATAGAGATCCGCGATTCACATCACGATTTTGGCCGAAGTTCCAAGAATCTATGGGGACAAAGTTGAAATTCAGTACAGCTTTTCATCCACAAACGGATGGGCAATCTGAGCGGGTTATACAGATATTAGAGGATATGCTGAGAGCCTGTGCATTGGAGTTCCAAGGGAGTTGGGACAACCATTTGTCACTTGTGGAGTTTGCCTACAACAACAGTTATCAGGCGAGTATAGGCATGCCTCCATACGAGGCATTGTATGGGAGGAGATGTCGTACACCGTTGTGTTGGGATGAGGTTGGCATGGCCAAACTCGAGAGCACGGAATTGGTGGAAATCACCAAGTCTAAGGTGAAGATGATTCGTGAGAGACTCAAGGCGGCTCAGGATAGACAGAAAGGTTATGCCGATAAGCACCGAAGAGCCTTGGAGTTTAAGGTGGGAGATGAAGTATTTTTGAAGGTTTCACCTTGGAAGGGAATCACCCGATTTCAGAGCCGAGGGAAACTTAACCCACGATACATAGGGCCATTCGTGGTTCTTGAGAGGATTGGGGCCGTGGCATACCGATTACAGTTAACTCCAGAATTGGAGAAGATACATAACGTATTCCACGTGTCCATGCTTAAGAAGTATATGTCGGATCCATCTCATTTATTAGAAAAACCACCCGTGGAAATACGGGAAGACTTGAATTATGCCGTGCAACCGGTGAAGATACTTGACAGGCAAGTCAAGAAATTGAGAAGCAAGAAAGTTCCAATGGTTAAAATCCTTTGGAAAAGTGACCGAGTTGAGGAGGAAACTTGGGAGACGGAAGCTTTGATGAAAGAGCAATACGCGTTTTTGTTTGAATGAGCATTGTGAATTTCGGGGACGAAATTCCCGTTAAGGGGGGGTGAACTTGTAACACCGACCCCGAGCATATTTACTTTTAGTAAATTATGTAATAAACCTTGAAAGATGATTTATGAATTTGCGTAATTGTAAATTTTTATTATTTCTTTTACGTGAATAGTAAATTGCATGTGGGGCCCACAGCGGGACGGGGACCGCCCGATAATTCCCGAACCACATATTATATTCATCTTGGTCTAGATAATATGTATATGGTGGTGGATATTTTATTTGGGCCATAAGAAAGGCATGGGGTTGACCGGTTGGTCAAACGGAGCCCAATTACCGGTATTGGTAATTTAACGGATAACAGCCCGAAATGAGTTTCGGAGACTCCTAAATTAATGTTGGGGATGGTACATCTATTCTAAAGGCCCATAATTATTAGGAACACGTGATATATTTTATTTGGCCCGATAAAATAAAATATAATTAAAACGGACCGAGAAATACAACTTTCGGGGCCGATTATACATACCGGGACATAATGGGATGACCTCCCACATAAGTGGGGGCCACCCCAAGTTTTTAGGAGTGCTGATGGACTGAGTGATAAGAAGAGGGGAGCAAATAAGTGTGCTGGTACGCACAATCAATGGGAGGAAGCCTCCTAGAAACAAATGAACATGCTCCATGTCCCACTCTTGGCATCTCTTCTAATTGATTGAGGGGAGATGCCTCCCCCCTACCTTGTGTCATTCGGCCAGCACAAAGCAAGAGAAGCCCAAGGGAAAGCAAAGCTCTAGTTGTAGGAAGAGAGAAGCTAGGAAAATCCACAAGAAATAGCTTGTGTCTAAGGTAAGAACATAACTATTGTTCTTTAACTAGTTTTATGGTGTATGATTTTTAAGAAATCATATGGTGGATTAAACGTGATGTTCTACACGTTTAAAAGTGTAGAATATTGATATAAAGTGGTGATATTTAACTTAGAAGAGTTGGTGAATCGATAGGAGTCGAAATCGCCGGAAACCGCCACTTTAAGGGAGCTGCCCGTTTCTGCAGAACACAAAAGCCGCCCGGCTTTCGTGAAAGCCGTCCGGCTTTTGCCCAGCAGCTCAGTTTTACACCTTCAATCGGCCTAGAACGGGGATTGATCGAGGGGCTTAGCAAAGGCAACTATTTCAGCACTTCATAAGGTGAGGATGGCTGACTATATTGCTTATAATTAGTGAGTTAATTTCATGAGATTACCGAAGGTAATTAAATGTGTTTTTATGGATTATTAATGATTAATAATGCCTAAAAATGAAAAGACTAAATGTCTAGAGAAAAAGGAGCATGATATACAAATTTAGGAGTAAATTGTGTATGTTCATGTGCTATGAGTATGTTGACTTGAAAGTGGAATTTATTATGAAACATGTGTTGAAATATACTTTTTTCTTCATATTAGAATATATGAGTGATTAAAAGTGATATTTTGGATATTGAGATAAATGATATTTTCAAAGGAAAATCAGTTGGAATTGTCTATATGACTATGAGTTGAGAACTTGGTTTGTTGATATTAATTTGACTAGTATTATGATACTAGTTGGACATTAAGGTGAAATGTTGTTAAGATTGATCCTAAGGTTGGATTGTGAAATGTTATGCCTTAAGTAGTCTTAAGAGATGCTTTAAGGTAGGAAAGTATGAACTCTAAGTTATACTAGGGGTAGGCCTTAAGGGATACCCAAGATAAAGTAAATAATAAATTGATCCTAAGTATAGGATTGGCCTACGGGTGTGTTCGGTAGTCCTTGTGGATAGCCGGTTGAATTATGGAAATAGTAAGGACCATGGCCCTTCCCGACTCTAGAGAGCGGGGTTGGATAGCATGGACTTACATCGTGATCACGGGTTAGGGTGGAATCCGAATCGGAGACCTAACTAGGTTCCGGTAGCGGTAACACATAAGATAGGACCCCGAAGGGCCTTACCTTCCTACGGGATTATGGGTATGAGTCCAGGGGCGGGATGTTGGAGTCCGAACCGGGAGCCTCATGAGGTCTCGGACAGCGGTAGCAAGTCCCGTAGAAATAATAAGACCCAAGGATTGGGTTGTGCAAATGATAAATGGAAAGGAACATATAAGAAGGGCCGTGTGCCGACAAATAAATAAATTTACTTATTATAGAGATAATAAGTGGGAAATATAAATTATTATTTATATTATGATATCACCCTATTTTGAGGGTCTTGGAAATTAAAACGTTGATTATACTTAGTATAATTGCTATTGTACTTGTCAAATATTTCCAAGTACTGACCTCCCCTTCACGGGGGAGGCCACCTCACAGTTTCAGGTAGGACTTGAAGGTTGCTACCGGTGCCCGTTGCTCGGGATATTCAGAGGAGGAGACGTGGTTCGTGCTTCTTCTGTTTCCTGTTTTCAAAACAATTATAACAATGCTCATGGATACTATTTTCTGAAAAATTACTTTGGGGGCTTGTATGCCTAGTTATGCCAAGTGTGGCTTGAACAATTGTATTAATGCTTCCGCTGTTTTAAATGAATGTTTTACATTATGTTTGTTTATGGATGTACTATGAGTGAATGATATTCATGACGCTTTGTATAGTATGGATGAGTTGGACTGCGGTTGACTATTCGTACTGTACGGCGGGTTGTTGACGTGTCCGGCTAGGTCCGGGGCGTGACAGATTGAGCCCACTTCTTTCGTTGACTGGTAGAGTCGCCCCCGGTATTGCCCCCAGTGATCATGAGGATGTGGCGCTTCTTTTCTTGGTACCGAGGGTACTCCTCCTCTTCTTCCAGGTTCCCAATCTCCCTCTTCTTTCCAAGGGGGATGGTGTTGGGGTTGACCCATGCGTTTGCTCTCGCAGGGTGCCCTCGAGGTGGCCCTTGGTGAGGGGGCCCTGTTGCTGAGGGCCCTGGACAAATTGGGACAAATGGCCCGCCTGTATCAACCTTTCGATGGCCGTCTTCAGCTGATGGAAGTCATCGGTTCTGTGTCCCTGATGTCGGTGAAAGCGACAGTAGGGGTAGTTCGGATTGATGGCATACACTTCCGGGAGTGCGCGTGAATCTCGCTCCACCAGGCCCCTCTCCTCAGCGAAGTCGAGGATGACGCTGACGGGGTGCGTCAAAGGCGTCTGAGGGTGCTCCAGGAGAACAGGCTGTGCCCAAGCCACCGGGTTCCCCTTGTAACCTCCCCCGGGCTTGGCTTGGCCGTGCCGGGGGCGGTCACCGGGAGGTGCTGAACCCTTCGGTTGATTATGAGGAGCCCCCGGCCCCCCGGTTGCCTTTGTCGTCTGGCCGAGGGCGTTGCTGATCGGGGTTGTGATGGCATTTCTCCACCTCCTCGGCTTCGGCATACCTGTCCCCCCGCTGTAGGGCCCTTATATAATCGTGGGGGGGTCGATGATGAGGCTCCTTGAGAAGTTTCCGGGGCGGAGTACTGTTTGGAGGAGGGCCAGGAGGGTCCCGTCGTCTGCACCATCAACTTTATCAGCCTCCGTTCTCCAGCGCTCCAAGAAGTCCCGAAGGGTCTCCTTCTTCCTTTGCCTCACTGTCAGCAAGTGGGAGAAGTGTTTTCTTGTGCGGCGCCTTCCCGCAAATTGTGTCAAGAATCGTTGGGCGAGTTCTTGCCATGAGTCAATGCATCCCTCGGGCAATCGATTGAACCATTCGTAAGCCGGGCCCTCTAAGGTGGAGAGGAACCAGCGGCACAAATACTCATCCGATGCCCCCACCATCATCATACTGTTTTGGTATCTGCTGTAGTGCTCCTAGGGGTCAGTTTTTCCGTCGTAGGGCTTGATGAGCTGCCCTCGGTATTTTTCCGGGATCCGGGCCGCCAATACCCTTGGGGTAAATGGCGTCCGGGTCCGGAGTTGTATGATGGGTTCCCCGGAGCCCTCGGTTATCTTCTTCTGCATCTCCTCCATCTTGGCCAACATGGCCTCATACTTGAGGTCCGTATGAGGGGCAGAAGCGGTGGCGTGTGCTTTGGTGGCCTCCATCTCGTCAAGCCGGCGCTGGAGGGCCGCAATGATTTCGTCCCGATGGTCCTTCGGGAGGGCCTCCGCCCCCTGCGAATTGACACGGGCCGACTGGGCCTGGTTGATTTGGTGACGGGCGTCGTTGGCATGGAGAGGTGCCTTACCCTTGTCCTGAGGAGGACGTCTTTCATTAGCCCTGGAGACGGATCCGCCACTTTCCTAAGGCCTTTGGAGCACCTTCCCCCCTCGGCGGTCTTGGACCCCTCGGCGGTCTTGCGCCCCTCCGAGTCTTTCGAGGGCGGAGGTCCGGGGCTGTTCTTTGTTCATGTTATGGCAGTCCCGGGATTGGACTTCTTGGGAGGCCATATCTTGGGCCATGACCCCCTCGACGTTCCCAATCCGAAGGACAGGGTTCCCGAGGGGGTGCGGATGAGGGGAGGCATGATATTCTCCCCGACCTGAGGTTGGAGGGGAACCAACATGCCGAAGGCACCCGGGTTCTGGGTGAGCGTCTGGATGAAGGCGGAAAACGCCGATTGTACGTCGATAGTGATGACCAGAGGGCTAACTTGGTTCTCGCCCCGGTCCTTCTTCTTGGCCTCGATGCCGAGGCAGGCATCGGGGGCATTCTGTTGAATCTGATGGCGTAGATCGACAGCCGTCTGGTCCAATCCGGCGATGACGCCGCCCCCGGGAGCCGTGTTAAAGGCTTCGGGGACGTCGACTTCGCTGAGGGCCAGGTTCCTATCCTCAACGTTTTTGGAGTTGGCACGAGTTGTTCTCACCATTTTAGCTAGGTGTTTTGTGTTTGGCGAGGGGGAGGGTTTCTTACTTGATTATTCGACCTCTCAACGAGAGAACCAAATGATGGATAGTCTACCCGGGGGTATGTTTATCCGAGGGGTTATTGCGGGAAATAACTAGAGAGAAGTCAGAGCATAAGTAAGAGAGAGAGAGAGAGAGTGTATTGCTGAGAAAGTAGTGAGCGTATTTCGCTTGGATTACAAATGGGGAAAAGGGGCTCTATTTATAGTAGTAATAAATGCCGGATAGGGACACGTGTCATCATTCTGATGGTCGGGGGGTCACCTTAACGGGGTGGCGCTGACATCCGCATGTGGCCGTATTAAATGCGGCTGTTGGATGTGACGTCGTACTTGGTACGGTGATTCAGGCACATGTGGAGAGGATATTATGTCGAGAAAGGTGCCCTCGGCTGCAGATGATTAGCCGAGGGCTCTGAGTACCGGGGACCTCCTTAGTGCCGAGGGCTCTAGGTGCCGAGGGCTACTGATTTTCGCCGTTTTCCCGGTGACTTTGTTCGCTTGAGTTGGCCATTCTGTGAGAATTTGGAGCCTTCGGCCAGGGGGCCGAAGGCACTCCCAGTGTGCTACGTGGGTTGCTCAGTACTTGGGGCGCTGTGTTTTGGGCCTGTTGTGCTCCCTGGATCTATTGGGCCTTCATCAGAATAGTAGGAGTCTATGGGCCGGGGGTTCCTGGGCCATATACTTCATCATATATATATATATATATATATATATATATAGGTTCAAGTGAGAAAACCATCTTAGGAGAGAAAAAAGAATTAACTACAACCATTGGATTAAACCTTTTTTAAAAAACGATTAAAGGGCAAAGTTGACACTCGATATTTTATCTATTTGGTTAACAAGATACGCTCCTTTTCCTAACTTCCTCCCTAATTTATGGTCCATTTATAACTCACCGATAATAGCTATCCATCAGTATTTATTTTTCTTTAAATTTTCAGTGATTTTCCATGCACTATATTTAATTGATTTCATTATTTATCATTATCCTTTATGTTCAATATTCATCCTTGCGATCCAAGAATTCACAATACATTTTGCACACCTACACTTCTCTAAATGCACAATACTTTTACTTATGCACATTTGGAGTATGCACAGTAGCCAAGGTAATATACAAATGACTAAAGTGCACTAAGATGATACCTTCATAATCAAATTATTCTCATGCTATTGGATGTGAAAGTGCATTAAGTTGTAACCAAGTGTCGATGCATCATTTTAGAAATTGTAATAAAATAGTGCACTTTTGAATATATTAAAAATGCACATTAAAAAGTGCATTTCATTTTGTTAGAAAGTGTCGCTTATTAGTTGCAACTTGCAACATGTGACAATGCATCATTCTAGAAATTGTAATAATGTAGTGCATGCACTTTTTAATATATTTAAATGCACATGATAAAAGTGCATTTTATTTTGTTAGAAAATGTCAACATAAAATTTAACGATGTGTGATATAGTAATGGACTTTTGTTTGTATTAAAATGCACATGATAATTGTTAGTTTACGCACGTGAATATTTAATTACATTTTTATGCAAAATATATGAAAGTGCACAACTAAGAAGAGTAAAGTGCAAATTATAAATATTAATTCTACAACTTTGGTTATTTGTTGGAGAACTTATTGTGAATATATATGATATCTAAAAATACGTCAATAAATATTAGTCTTCGAGAAGATTGATGATTTAATAAAAATAAGTGAAATTAATTAAAACTATTATGCAGTATTTATTTTAGAAAAGAAATAAACATTCACTTGAAATAGTTGGGCATAGATTTCGAAAAAAAGTGAAGTTATTAAATGTTGGAGTGCAAATGGACAAGCAACGAAATATTGCATATGAAGGAAAAGATTAAAATTTAAAAAAATAATGCAAAAATATAATGAAGAATTTTTTAAATTAGTTAATCGAATTAAATGTGAGAGAATATCAAATTCGGAAAGAAATTTAAACAAGAGAAAACATTAATCAGAATAAATGATTTTAATTCCTCAAAAAAAATATGAGTGGGAGTTTGCATTAATTGTTAGGAAAGGAGTTACGAACATGCATCTCATACTTGATATGAAGCAAAAACATTTTTAGAAGGATCTATACTATTCCATGAGTTTCAATTCCAATAGAACAATATTGTTTGCAACGAATCAAGAAACAAATCTTTATTAGTTCGTATGAAACCATACCTTTTGATGGATCAATGAAAACCTAGATCTTATCACTTGTTTTTTGTCGTTCTAGCGTAGAAAGTACCACGCCTCTATGGTGTGCACACACGATCGGATCAGACTTGCTCAATGTACTAGCATCCAAAGCGTTTTCTCAATTTTGTTTTGTCTCATGTATGTATGAGAACGACCAACCTTATTAAGCTCTAAGGCTCCTCCTTTTATAGAGGACATAACGTAGAAAACCCTAGCAACAAACGGATATGGGCTTGAAGTCATTCATACCCAAACACTATCCGATTATGCTCCAAAACGTTTTAGTGTGCGACCCTATAGGTTTATATTCCTTTGGTAGTATAATTAAATACTCTTTTAATTATACAAATAAAAAGCGGTCTCTAGTAAGCCATTATTATTATCCAA